ACGAAAGAATTTGCTCCCCACCCCACAGACACAGGGCCTGGTTACCTGTCGTTGGTGCCTGACTTGTGCCACGCCTAAAGACAGGCGGCCAAACCACCTTTTCCGCAGATGATGGTGTTGCAGACTCATCATCCTCAGAAGATCCCTCCGACGCTGTACAATCCGATGGAGAGATAACCGAAAAGTTCACCACCGTAGAAGAGCCGCCGCCCCAACCAACGGAACCAGTATCGGTGACGGGCTGGAATTGGGGAGAGAAAGCCGTGGACGTACTGCCTCAGGACGACATTTGGCCGAACAAAACTAAAAAGGCAGAGTGAAAGAAGAACAGATGGGGACAATTATAGAAGCTTACCATCTGTATGGAGATTGATCTGGAGTATGGAGGGCAAGCTGATGGATATCCAAACGCGGGGCGCTCTGTATGGAGAATTGAGTACGCATTGAGGGAGGAAAGGCAACCGCTAGAACATAACATTACGTACCGCTCGCTGTACCCCTGCATCGCTCATCGAGCCCTGTCCCTCGTCCACTGGCGCTCCCGGATCCAATCTTCCTAACCCGTGGCAATGATGATGTGCACGATATCGTCGACCGCCTTGTGTTACTCTTGTACCTGTCGTCTTCTCCGTCGCTCCCGCTTAGGCACCCTTCGTCCTTCGGCCGGCCGGCCGTCCACCGGCGCCGCCCTAACCGCTTGCCAGCGCCAATTTTTCTCGAAACTTGAAAGGTGGTGTAATAGCGGGTATCCCCCCTCCCGCCGATCTGTTCTTAAAAATAAAATCGCCCCATCAACACGGCGGCGCAGGATTAGAGTCAGGCTCGCTGTTCTCGGGAAGCCGCGCATGGGCCATAGTTACCTTAACAAATCCCCTAGTTTCAATGTAATCTCTATAGTAAAGCGGTCGAGGTGCTTATTATAGAACTTTAATCATTCAGTCCTGGAATCCGGAGCATCCATTTACTATGTTTCTTGGCTACGATGGGGCCCATACCCCCCCATTTCACTCTATTCGCGTTATCTCTTTTCTGTCTACTTTTGGCCCCAGCTGTTCCGGCTCCTTTTGAAAGCCCTTCATCTCAGTTTATTGACGAATAATTCTGCAGCGATATTGGGCTCGGCCAATTCTTTTGCTGCGGCATCAAGTCCGTGTGCCGTCCAGCCATGCTTGAGGCTATATTTTGCAAGCATAGTCACTTCTCGACTCTCCGAGTATAACCCAACTTCCCAGTTCGCGCACCATGGTGCCGCGGTAGATGATTTTGCCGTCACCATCGAGCCGCTGTACAAGCACCGTGGCGTCACGGCGACAGAGTTCGTTTCGTAGGGTCACTAGGAAATCGTTCGAGAGCGGCCTCAGCATGCCCGTTCCACAGGCAGTACAGGCATTGGCCTCGTCTCTGCTGATGCTCGTTTCTGCACCTGAAGCATAAGCTGACGTTCATGCCGACTTCCAGTATCTCGACAGAGAGACCATCGTCATTCTCACCCCTCGCTTCGCCATCTCCTCGTTGTGTAGAGGACGTGTCGTTCATGGCCCTTGTGACTTATGCCGCTTTGTATTGTACCACGAAACAGCGGTCAAAACCAAGGACGTATATGATAGACTATGGTTCGCTAGGTGGAGCAATTCGACAACGACAGACACCTCTTGAAGTAAATAAATAAGAGATAAACCAAATACAGATGTGGCTATCGATTACAAGGCCTGTAGATGGGTCATAATTGACAATCAATCTGAGTCGGATACATCTACCCATTCCAGATAGCCACTTCCTTTGACAGCCTCGCCAAGCCACTCGCCAGTGAATGAATAGCCCCCAACATACCCACGACAAAGCCCGAAGCGCAATGGCGTATCAACGCAGGCAATGATACTAATGATCTCTACGCCCGCATCACGCACCTTCCAGCGCAGACGCTCCGGTACTCGCATCGTTCGGCCCCGTGGGTCAGTGACCCTGCTCTTTTTGTACTCAAAAACTTCAAAATCCACATCTGTATACACCCGGACATGACCTTGGCGGCCGGCGAGATGGGCTGACTTGCTTGCAATTGTGCCTCTTGCAGTGACACAATCGAGGGATAGCTGGGTGTCTTCGTCAAGATGAACAATTTGATAAGTGAAGAAGTCTGCGGGGATCTTGAGATGAGGAGGTATCGGCGTGCTCTGCAGTACTTGTGGCGATATAGCACGTGCGTATTCAAAGCTACCGATTCCTGAGATTTGCGTAGTGCCCCTCCTGTCTCTGATGGTACCCCGGTAGCTGGAAAGCACGCACACATGATCGTATATTGGTACTCGTGAAAACCATGATGCTTGCTCCGAGACTACTATCTGGAGGTCAATTTCCATGTGAGAGAATCTACCAGTGATTGTAATAATAGGAAAATTGTTGGTAATGGCCAAGTCATCGCCCCAAGCCAAACGCGATCCGTCTTCCTCAAATGAGCAGGAAGTTGACGTGTCATACGCTTCATAGTGATGAGCTTCCCCATAAGCTGTCGTGGCCAGCACGGTCGCCGTATTACGTGCGTCGGGGGCGCAAAGATGGTCGTTATCCATGAATAGAATTCCTGCATGCCCAATAAACGTCATGATATTCAAGTAGCGGTATGGCTCCGGGAGGCCAGGAATGGCCACTGCATAGTGAGTCCACCCCCACCATCTGGAGTTGACATGAGGCAGGAAGAAATCTGGTGTGATAAATGGCTTGGCTGATTCATTTATGGAGTCATCTAGAAGAGGCCTGCCATACACGAGGAGCATTTTGGTAAAGACATTAACCAGGACATTTGTTGGTGTTTTCTCTGAGGACATCCTGCAGGATTGAGTAGCCTGCAAAAATTGAGGGCAAGCATAAATTGAGAGCAAAGGGCGCAAGGTAAGGTCGCAATATGTAAACAGCCGCAATCCAATTCCTGTACATATATACTCACCCTTGTGACGAGAGAGAGACGTTACCGAGGCTTTCGGCAACGGAGGTCCGAGTTGGACCGGGACCTTTTCCAGATCGCTAATCACAGGGTAGCGACGGCGCTACTCGCAAGACGAAGCTTGGGGCGGACCAATCCGACACGCTGACCAGCAT